CTAAAACCTATGATTTTAGTCCAGATTATGTAAAAAAATGTGAGGTCTTGATAAATATATTGATCAAAAATCGATCGATCTAACCTATAATCAATACAGGAATAGCAATTTAACAAATTGTGATGAAACCCAGTCACATTAAAAATATTGTGTTTGCACGAGAGAAACCGATTTTGCGTAATCGCATCGTTGAAAGGTCGATAAAATCTGGGAATAATTCGACAATCGCAAGTTTGTGACCTCTGAGACGGCAAGGTTAAGCCGTATTAGAGCTTACGGCGACTGCTACCATCCGTTACCGTTTGCGTTGAGGCTAAAACGGGTTTATTTATAGCAAGTAACTAATCATGTGTGGATTGATTTATACAATGAATGGACGTCGCATCTGCAACCTCAGCATCTAGCCAAAGTCGCGTTTTATCATAATTAAGACACTTGCACAAATGTTTACCAAGATTTATTGTTATTGCGCTATATTTTACGTGTTATTGATAATGAACGCCTTACTAAGGACGGCATATATCAAATTTATTAAAACCCACGCTGGTTCTAACAAGCTTCCTCAGTCAAAAATTACCCACACCCTTTCGCATCTAACGCAACAGTTCGAAAGTGATCACAAATTTCACTGACAGCAATTAATCTGAATTTTCCACCCCTTGCTATCTTAATCTCAACCTCTAGTTACCATAGGCAATTAATCAAACTCGTCCTATGTCAGCCCATGACAAGGATTATCAATGATCGGAACAACCGTGAGAATTCAATTCGATCAAACTGTCACAGCGCAAAAATAAAAATTTGTCAAAACATTCTTGTAGTAAACATGCTTGTACGTCACTTGTTTATAGATTTTTCAATTAGTTTTGCGTTGTTTATTTGTAAAGAATTCATTAGCCGAAACAACAAAATTAAAATAAGGGGAAATACACCTCAAAGTGATTTTATCGACATTAATTACACAACGTGTTAACGATTGTAATTAATAGAAACGTTAGAAAATTTATGACACCTCACTTCAGAAAAATTGATATTATTTAAATGTGAGATTAAAGTGATAATAAACATTTAATTAACCTATTACACAATAATTAATTTTTTGCTCAAATTCCAGATCTTGAGATAAAAATGTATTTTAGTTTAGACAAACAAAACTTCACAATTGCTAATTGGTCATTTGCACCGCAATAATAAATGTGGGCGTCGCAGAAGCCGTCCAAATAAGCAGCAAAGGTATTTTTTTCAGCCATTAAATTTGTTGGTGTAAAAACGTATCGGCCAGTCTAAACATATATAGCCGTAAGCAATTATTATGGTAATGCTAATGCAGAAATGATTCGAAGCTTTCAGGCGTGCTTATCGAGCATTGAAGTCACAACAGTCGCACCAAAATATCCTTGAACGTCCAAAATTATTGATAATATTTTTCAAATAAATATAAACAACATTAGGGTTGAAAACAAATGGGTTGAGAAGAGATCTCAAACATTGAGACCCGGATATCAGCCCACACAATTAAAGAGGTATCCATGGCGCATGCGTGGATTTATTCAGGTGTTCACAACAGGCGCGCGAAGCGTCGTTCATTATATTATTTTACCTACTTTACCTTGAACCTGGCTCTTATGACCGAGAGGTACATTTACAATAGGTAAAAAGTTTATATGACAATAATTTATAATTGTTAGGTGGGTACTTTTTTATTAATGGTTATATTGCCGTAATAGAAAGTCCTTGTGAATTTTTACCAAGTTATTGCTATTACATTCACCCAGAACTATATTGCAATACTCGCTAGTGTTTTGTATAATTATTAATAAGTGTTGTTTATAATATTAGGGAAATTCTGCATAAACCACAAGTCTATTTCACTGATGGTTGGATTATTCAAATTTATACAAATTGCTCTAGTGAAGATAAGGTAAAGAGCTAGGTTTGAGAAATAAAATCGAATTTGTTTCTGTCGGATAGGTAGAAAGGGTTTCTCGAAGATACATCTAACGAACGTTAAGTTCATGGTCAAACGTTGGATCTCTCGGTACCCACATCTCGATATTTTTAGCTCTTCATCTTGCAAAATCTTCAATTTCCGGAGCACCACTCCAGCTTTAGTTAAAAGCTGTAATAAATCTTGTGATTATCACTGCCGAAACTATATTCTTCAGATTATTTGATAATTAGACTTATCTATCACGTTTCGAAGAAGCGAAATCATGAGTCACGAAGTTTTAAATGAATTTTAGTCGTCCCAACATGCCTACGATTGGCTATTTCCTAAATTACATGACAGATTTTAAATGGCTGACTTGGCTTGAATAATCCCGGGATTTATCTAATTCTGTATGTAATCTTTTCAATTAGTTTCAATTTGCATATGTATTTAGATCCTGGAAGTGTACTATGTATAAATTGAAGCACATAATTCATATTGTGTGTATAAATAGTTGTAATAAAATGTTGAAAATTTTAAAAGGTGGTATTAATAACAATAATTGCGTGGCGTTCTTGATATTTTAATAATATTTAATGGCACATTAGATTTAATTGGTGTTTATGCAAATCGTTATAAATAATTTGTAACAAACAGAGTGCCGGTGTAATTGCGGGTAAAAATGTAAGTTTTTTAGTAAAAAGTGTCATTTATAAAAAACCGAAAGTCGCCCTAATTGGCAATTAAATCACCTTTTACACTGTATTCATATGCAGAATTGCATTCGTTGGAATTGCTGATTTATTGAGCAATAATATTGCTCTACATAATAACACTTTATTTATTACCAATGACTTCGGTTATCTTGTTTTATTTGGGTTCGCATTTGCTCCAGACGTATCCTTTTGCTCTCGACTCGGCTATAATAATTAAGCAAGCACACACATACACACAACCTAGTTGCTAAGTGAATAGGTTTTGTTCGTGGGGCCTGACGCTTATTCAAACTTTGATTGCTATTTATTACAGAAGATGCATAAGAAAGTCTATGTGCACAAGGAAAGGAAAATTTATAACCTCGCATTGCGTAGATGCAAATGGGTGCCATTGAAAATTAATCAAAATCGCACACACAAGAAAAACTTTCTTCGTTTCTTGTAAGTGTATTTTGATGCAACCGCAAATGCCACTCATTCAAATGTCAAATATTTGTTTAATGCCAAATAACGGTTCATGCGGAAAATGCTAATTGTGGAGATTTTAGTTGGTGTCACCAAAGCTGACAATTCCTCAAAGATTAGGTTAATGGTTTATAATGAGTACTTAATTGCAATAAACATATTGAGAAATAATGGTGATAGCCCAAACCTTGACTTGTTTACTTAACTATTTTAGTGACAAAATGTCTGGATTGGAAAATACGGGAGTTCGATTCGATGGAGACTGGCTATTAACAATCAACAGCCGCATATTATAGATTCTTCATGATTGCTCAAGGGCAGACGTACCAAAAATGGAATGGCTATTTTTCGAAGTTCGTGACTGAAGGCGTTTCAATGTTTTCATAATGTGTAGTAACTGCAGATTACTCTCCGCATTTCGTACTTTACACTGTTCATGTCTTTGTTATTAATAAAACTATCAATGAACACTCTTATTTCACTTAATCCCAGCTTGACTTTAATTCCATACAAAAGGTATTAGGAACAATACCTTGCAACATGTATTGACATTTTTTAATCAAAACTATATCTGTTTTCACAAAATAGGCTTGACCACTTTAGCGTGAAAGCTCTTCACGTGTACACAATAAAATTGTATCGATTATAGATGTTATAAATAGCTCAGTTTCTCTACTGTGACTAAGCATTTTCCATTTTTGTTAATACATTACGCATATAATGAAAATATAACCGATAAATCTACACTGAAAGTCAAATAGGATAAATCAAATCACATATTGTTCATTAAGATGAATTGAAATGTCACTATGAAAAAGTTTGTAAAAATACAATTTGCATATGTGTAGATTCTCTCTTGCGAATCTGACACGTTTATAATTTATAAGTTGTCACTCCTGCCGCCAGCTAATATTTTAGACTTCCTTTACAGATTTTCAGGTGGAAAGAAAGTTAAAAATTTTGAAAAAAGTGAAGGTCAAAATTTAGTATAACAATAATGAATCAGAAAGTACACATTACGACATAATATGGAAAATTGTAAACCCTCATGGCAAAATTGCTCAAATACCAAATTTAATGGCGTCTCAACTTTTACTTCGTTAAGGAACACATTAAAATATTTATAAGGTAGTGCTTATCCTCTTCACAATTGCTGGTCCATGTAAAATATATCCAGCCAAAAAAAATAGCGTCATTTTCGTATTATTAGAACAAAAGTGAATCGAATTGAATGTATTGTTATAGACGTGACTGCCGTTGCGGTATAATAGAGAAACTAACAATTAGTTGTAGTCACAGCAACAGACTCAGTTATTAGACTATAATATTTAACCTTGAAATATTTGTAAGGCCCAGTCAAATACGGTGTTGCCTCGCTGCCTCTTTTATTGCTGAGATGAGATGTTAGAGTGCTTCATAATCACCTTCAACGGCGAATAAAACATTGTTTTACAAACGCGCACTTTTTATCAATCAAACCGCTATTAAAATGGGCAATTTTAATTTTACACGTAACCAGGATAATCAATGTTAATACGAATACACCATCATAGAAAAATAATAATAAATAATACACTAATGTTTCTAATATTGAGTGTTACAATGCATCACCATAGAGAGAAATGTACGCAATTCTACACTATAATGTCTATACCTATATAGTCCAATGTAGGGATGCAATTTTGCATTAGTTAAAATTAAAAATTGCAAGTGCTAATTTACGACGTTTGTGTATAAATCGAATTAATTATCATAATGTAAATTTACAAATGGTTAAGGTTTGGTTGGTTGACCTTAGGCGACCTTGGCACCTGTCTGCCTAAATCGGAATAATTTCGTGGCATTTGGGGATTTGTGAGGGGTGATTTCGTGGTTGAGTAATTATTTACCTGAGTCCAATAACGGGCACCCCCTCGTCCTCTGTCATCTCCGAGAGAACCAAAACGGTGGGCACTTGACTTTGAGTGGGATATTGAAGAAGTCCTTGGTTTCCTTGAAGTACCACTGACACTGTCCCCGGGGGACTCCCGGTGGGTTCTCCCCCCGCGATCGCGGCCGAATTTCCGTCGATTAACCCGTCCGCGATTTGCCCCCCGTGAATTTGATGGGCACTTAAATTGTTGATTGTGATTTCCCCCCCGTTATCGGCCGAGTAAATTTCGAGACTTTTCTGGTCGAAAGCGGTGGTATAGATGACGGTTTTGTTGCCATCTTCGTAGATTAGGTCAATAGGGGTGTCGTTTTTGTCGGGTAGAGGTTGAGCATAGAGTTCGTCTTTGTCGTAGGAAATGACTTCGGTTTTGACTTGGGCGTAAAGCGGGGCCCTTGCCATGGCACTTTCCTCCTCCATCTCCTTCTTGAGTTCGATTACGTTGACGGGAGTCATGGTCGCAAGCATCGCGGGAGATTCGGGAGAGTCTTGGTGTGGAGAGCGGTCGGCTGGGGAGGCTTGCGGTGGAGGAGGAGACATCATACTCCCGTCGGCTTCGAGAGAAGGCGACGAATTCAAAGGCATATCTTCCATGTTTCGGCGAGTCATTATGGCATGGGTTTTTATCACAGTCACTTAACGCGATTGCACTTTTTACGTATGATTGTTCGATATGGCACTTGTATGGCTGATGGTGGGTGATCTAGAAAAGAAAATGGTATGAGATTTTGACGCGGCATGCTCGTACTACAACCGATTCATGGTTACTACAAGTACCGGTTTAGATCAAGTCTATTATTTTGGAAGATCCAAAAAAGTCAGCTTGAAGATGAGGAAACTCGGCTAGGAGCCGGAGGAGGTGGCAGTAAACAGTAGACGGTAGCAAACCGGAACCTCCACGTGCCAAAGCTGGTTTGACGGGCATATGGGGCTGTCCGAGTGGCCGCTGCCGCCGACCCAGACTCGGGATTGTGCCGAGGGGGTGGCTCCACAGGCACCAACCGGTTCTAATAACTGTACTTGCAATTGCCCTAATACGAACTAAATTTTGATTTTGATTTGACTTTCGACATGCATCCAGTATATTAAGTATTCATATCATACACACGCATCTGATTTGAAATTCGAACCAATCGCGATTGATTTGCTAGTTGATTGGTTTGGACAAGTTTGGTGGTTGTATAATACTAGACAAGCGGCGCCAGAAGAGTGCAAGGGCAGACCTCAGACCAGGTAAACTAGTAGGGGCGTACCGAGTCGCCATTCAAGATCAAGTGTGAGCAATAGTTGATGAACAGGTCTGCCGGCTTCTGGATAACAGGTACTATTGTAATCGTTCAATATTGAAAGCAACTAGGTGCAAGTGAGCACGCTTACTCCTAGCACCACAATCTGGCCAATTAAGTGCGGACTGTTGCCCGAAACTAGTTTTTGGACGACAACGTGCTAGTGTGCGTGTTTTTGGTGCGATTGTTTTAATTACCTCGCGTGAAGTCCTTTGTTTTGGCGACACAAACTCACTACACTGCGGCACACTGTCCAGGTCCGTGTCCCCCACGTTTTGCCAACATATTTGTCTCGTCGGGCCTCTACATTCAATCACATGCTAGCGTCTACAGGTGTTTCGAACTAATACTCTACTGACTGTTAGTTGCGGCAGCTCAAAGCCAATCGAAGGCAAAGACCATCTCGGGCCTACGTTCGTTTCTCCGTCCTGCTTGGGCGCGGAGAAAACGAGTGCTCGCTCCAAGACTTGTGTCTTTGCTTGCTTCGAAGGCCGCTCGCTGTGTTCGTAGCAGAGTCGCCTCCGGGCCCCCGCAGCGACACCACCCGACAACTCAGGCCGTCTTCGTCCAACTCATTGCACGTGGGAGTCCATTGGGCGCCGCTGATTCCACTCAGCTGAGTGCGAGGGCAGCATCGAACACTCGTGGAATCATGGCCGCTGTCCAGGTAGATCGCGGGAATCTCATCCCAAGACAAAGATGACCAAATAGCCCGAACTCAAACCCGACAAAGACAACGACGTTACACGACTAGCAAACAGACTCAGATAACCGAAGCCAACAACAGAGAACAACACATAAAACGATCGAAAAAAGAATGACGGAAAATAGGAACAATAAGAAGTAAAAGTATAAGCCCAGACATGCCTCGAGCTATTCCAACATTCTCAAATACTGCGCGCGCTTATAATGCGTGTTAAAAGTACGCTTCATTTTGACGTTTCAACACCTACTAACCCCTCATATTTAATACACCCTAAAATTTTATAAAAAACTGACGTCAAACGCGGGAAAAACGATTAAATCTGTGGAGACTTCAACGGGGCGTAACGCGACGAACCTATCATTAATTCCAACATTAGGCGACCAGAAATTAGCTGTTTTCACACATTTAAATTCAATTGTTGTTGGGATTTTTTCCACCTGCTGTTGACCTATCTAAACAGAAACTTTCATCAGACTGTACCGAAAGGGTTAAGAAAATAACCATAAAAAATCTCAACTAATGGGCGTCCGTAACTTTAGTCAGATCTCGGTTGTTTACCACGAAGCCCTGATGCAGCAAACAGAGACCACTCTGGATCAATAAGAAACATGACAGAGATAAAAACACTAACAAAAAATAAACAGGTAGATAGCTTATATTCGTCCGATATTTAATGAGAGCCATCATACTTAAGCCACTCTTTCGAAAAAAATAAATATTACTCTTGCATATAAACTACATAAAATTTATTTTGGCTTTTGGGATAGTGCGAATGGCCATTTCATTGAACAATAACGAATATTTCAAGAGCCACCTTCACAGCCATTTCCCCTCTCTTCACCATTACTGTAAACACTCGAATCTCATTAGTCACTATTTGATTTTCCTTTTTTGTACTCTCATCCTAACGTTTGAAACACCGATGTAATATATTTCATTTGGATTTTTAAGGCTAAATAAAGGACCATTTGAATATTTAACGAAACCAAAATTTATCACCGAGTCGGCTCAATTAAAACGCTTCTATGGTACCCAAAATACAACCGGTACTTAAATAGGTACACCCAAACGTTTTTAAAAAAAAATTAAACTTTTCAAATAACTTTTGAGTTTTTAAGTTTTTTTTGTGATTTTTAATGGTTTTGAAATAATTTTCATTATTTGGTATAATTTTACGATTATTACTAATCAAATTTAGAGGTCTTTGTAATAAAGGCCTGGGTGAGGTTAATTGCTCTTTTTTCGTTCCGTTGGTCATAAAATATCAGTTTTGCTAAAAGGTCAAGTACATTTTTGATGTGTGGATTAAAAAGGCAAAAAGTTGCACATGTGTGTCTTTAGTTAATTTTGAAATGTCGACTAAAGATTTAGATAGGCATGAAAATGTTAAGTTTGATGGATTTATTTCGCCATTAGTTTAATCAGCGATAAGATCGGCTTAGTTGTGTTGGTGTTAGTGTAGTATTCGAATTTCGTGTATTTTTGTATGAAAAGTGAGCTTATTGGCGTGGTAAAGTAAACATGTCCTTCAGTGGCCTTCACATTTCCGAGCAGACTCCGTCTAGATATTATCATGCATGAAATTAGTGTGTTTAAGGTTATGAATATATGATTTATAAAATATTTTTTTGGGTTTAAGCGAGCAGCGAGTTTTCCTCTCCGATCGTCGATTAGATAAAGTGGACACTTTTAATATTTGTCTGCGTGCTATATACACTTTATATGTCCATAGTATCTTTTTTAGGCATCTTTGTGGTTTTTGAGCCGAAAGCAAATGTGAATTCGTTGGTATGTCTGGTATGTTGCCACACATTCTGTTTGGGGCTCTTGTTTATTTTTACCATCTCCAAGTCTAAAAAAAATTGTCTTTGCTCGATACGTAATTGTATGCCTCATACTTATTACTCGAGAATGAACATTATAAATATCAATACTTTTCCTGGCTGCTGGACCGGTTCATCGCAAGAAAAAAAAACATCAGCGATAATTTACACAGATAAATATTTATATAATAATTAAATGTTACAGTTTTTGACAGGTGCCCGAAGTCGCAATGTGCATAATTTAACATGACTTATTAGAGAAAAACGGACCGAAAGTTGCGAATCATTCTCGGGCCATTTCCAAAATATAGAGTCTCATAAATAAATCTACGTTGATTTTTTTGTGGAGAGTTCAAGCGAACGATAACATTTTCGTTTAACGACCTGTCGGACATATTTGATTGTTTTATAATTAAAACTTTTCCATCAATTAGAAAAGATAAAGAGCGTGTAACGCTTCTCTATGTTACTCGAGGGATTCCATAAAAACTAACACAAAACAAACGTAAGAAAGTAGTTAACATTTGTCCGCCATTTTGAATTCGTGTTTAAGAAAATCGCTTCACGCACCACGTATGTAGACGGATAATTGTATGTCCAAGTAAAAATGTGCAGCTATGTTGCAACGGCGATCCAGCTTCGCAAAACACTGCAATGCGTGGCTATAATGACATCCACTGACGTTTCGACGATCGCAGAATATCAATAACGACATATCCAATACGATATTAACTGCTGATAGCGGGTAAACGACCGACATTTTTATACACTTACATAGACATTGTTTATACCAAACAACGCAGGAAATTCCAACAAAAAAACTATACCAACTCCAAGCCATACTTACCTTCATCAACATTTTGTCACAAGATTTATCACTACAAACAACGCACGCCAGCTGCTCCTCAAAAACAAAACACACATTTCCACAAAATCTACTCATTTTAACTTCCTGAACATTACGAGTATCATTATCCCTTTTTTATTCGAACTTAGATGAAATCAAGAAGTTCATTACTACTTTGCAGGCTTTTGGGTGAAATTTTGGAAAAATTGTGACATTGTGACCTACACGTAAAAAGTAAACTTTGAAAAAAAAGCAAGAAAATAAACCGTTTCAGTTTTAGAATTTAATTAAAAAAAATGGAGTTTTAAACTTTTCTCCATTATTATTATTTCTTTATATAAACTTACTTTCATAACTAAGTCTATCTTTTTAAATATTGTCATTATTCCTTTATTTAAATTTATTTAATACTATCTTGCAGGTGTTGGATACTTTTTTAGGAAAATTTTAAAAAATTGCAACAATTTAGAGTTTTACGGTTTCAAAAAATATAAAAAGTGACAATTTGAGAATTTATTGAAAAAAATTTTGAACGTTCTGTACATTATTACATACCAGGTGAATAAAAAGTATGGAACCAAACTATTTATTTAACTATTTTTTTTTGAAAAAACTAATTGATGAGTGCTAAAGTACTATAAAAATGTGATGATTTAACAAGAATAAAATTTTTCGAAATTTCCTTTTATTTTCAAGTTCAACAAAAAAATTATTTTTTTTAAATAGCAACCCACTATAAAATCATTTTTCTCATAAAAGCTTTACTCTAAGGATTACAACTATCTGCTTTATTTTTAATTTTTTCAAAAAATTTTTTTCACATAAATTGCAATTTTGACAAAAAAAAAATCGCATAATTCAAAAACAAAACAAAATTTCGTTCTGAAATTACGATCACATTTTTTATATTACTTTAATTTATATTAATTATTATTTTCAGGAGGCAAATGATTAAAAATAAAACCGCTTGGTTCCATACTTTATATTCACCCTGTATAATTTTTTAATTTAAATTTATTATCAATAAATGTTTGATAACAACTCTAACTAACTTCCTGAGTATTGCCATAATTCTTTATTTAACTTTATTTGAAGGTAAGGTGTTCAATAATACTTTTTTTGAGAAATTTTGAAGGAATTGGAAAAATTTAGGCTTTGTAACTCCAAAAATATAAAGTTCAAAAATAAATCTGTATTGGAAAAAGTTGAGTAACCATTAGAAAAAATAAATAAATTTGATACTCGTTTTCCTATATACAAGTTTTTGCATATTTTTCCGTTTTGTTTTGAAGAATCTATATTTTGAAAAAAGTTTTTTTTTAAATATAATTAAAAAAAGAAAATAGTCAGAAATAGTTATTATCAAAAATATATTTTTTGAGTTTTGGACTTTTTTAATATTAATATTTTTTATTTAATAAATATATGAATACAATTTTGGTAACTTACTCTCACTTCTTGAATATTGTCATTATCCCCTTAGTTAAATTTATTGGGAGATATTTTTTTGTTATATTCGACTAATCATCATTGGATAAAATCAACAAATTCAATACTATTTTACAGGTTTTAGATATTTCTTTTGAATTTAGACTGATTTAGACTTTTCTAACTTCAAAAAATAGAGTTAAAAAATAAAACAGAAAGAAACAGTTTGAAATTTTAAGTACATATTTAAAAAAATGTTATTTCAAAATTTTGAACCATCTGTATAGGTACTATTATTACAATTTTTTTTAAATGTATTGGAATAAAACCAAAAAACTCGGTTCTCCCTTAAATGTTTTTAAAAAAGATTTTCTACAGGGCAAGTTAAAATTGAAACAGATGGTGTTTAAAATAACAAAAATAAACAACAATTTACGAATTTTTGTTTGTGAACTCCACTGTAGAAAAATTTGTGTTTATTTTGTTTTTTACAATTTGCACAAGAGTAAACTGTGTTTGAAAGAAATGTTGAGATGTGGATTGCGTGGAGGGGAGAAGTATTTAGGAATTTAGTCGAAGAACATTCAATTATAATAATTTACTTTTTATATTTCCTCTGCCAAGAGCCTAATAAAGAGGCAAATAATAACTAATACAGCAATTACTTTGAATAAAAAAAGGTGAGTTGTGAGAATAAATTTGGAAAAATGGTTAGTGCCTTGACCGAGAAAACAAAGCCATTCCGGAGGCTGAATTCTTTTCATGTGGAGATTTTCGTAATAGCATCACCACCATATGGTGTCTTATAAAGAATGTTAAAGCTAATTAAAACAAATAAATAAAGATTTAATCATTTTCCTTGGATTTAAAGTTAGAAAAAGCAGATCAAAGCGTTGCGATGAGAATAATAGC